GGCAGGCCCGGGCCCCGGGCAGGCTAAGGCAGCCGTGGTGGCTGTTCCCAGGCTCCAGGGGGCTCCCGTGGCCAGGCCTCTGCACCAGGGATGGCTCTGCCCTGCCTGCACTGTGCCCAGTGCCAGAGGAGGCCCCCAGCTATCGGGGCTATGGGATCAGGGTCCCGGGTCCACAGCCCCTCTGCCCCCCCAGCAGTGCCCAAGTCCTGGCTGTCACCCAGAGGAGGTGGCAGCTGCTGCAGCTGGAGTGGAGTGCGGAGCCTAGCTCCCACTCTCCCAGGGGCGACACGGCTGGAGTGGAGCCTGTGAGAATGGGGACAGGTGTAGGATGCCCACCGCAGACTCGGAGCTCCCTACCTTCTGCCCTACCCCACAAGGGCCTCCACCACCCAGTGGCTGAGATCTGGTGTGCGAGGGTAGAGAAGGGTGAGAAGGCTCAATACCACCACCAGGAGCCCCATGCCATCATGGTAAGGTACCCTCTGCCCACCCAGCAGCAGCAGGGGGTACAACTCTACGCCACCACACCTACTGATGCTGGGAGGGGGTGGGGGGGAGGGCAAGGGGCACTCACCATGGTAGCGTTGGGCTCCTGGAAGTGGCATTGAGCCACCCCACCCTACACCAGGCTTCCTCACCCTGATCTGCCCTACCAGGCCAGGTTCTGCTCACTGGGACACGGAGGACCTAGGGGGAGGGCAGCAGGATGGGAAACCCACAGTGGACAGCCCACATCTGCCACTGCCCCATGCACAGATCTGGGAGGCATGCATTCTCCATGCACCCTGAAAGTGCACTCAGTGGCAAGGAGCCAGCCTCCCACCCCCATCACCCCCAGAAGAGCTGCCTGTAGCTCTGTCCAACTTCCTGCCTGCATCCTGTGGCCAGACATTCCCACCTCAGATCTCACACCCCAGGCCTCATGCATCACCCCAGCTAGGCAGAACCCCCAGCCCAGCCCAACTCCCTCCCTCCCTCACTATGGGGGCAATTCCCCCCCACCCCCTGAGACTTACCTGTGGGGAGTTGTGGGAGCTGCTCTCATGCTGCCTGGCTGCCATGTGCATGTGTATGCATGCACATGCACGTGGAACCCCCTGCCTGATCGCCCTTCTCCTGCTTCCCCCAGTCCCCAGCCTGCAAGGGGAAACCATGCGGGGCTCAGAGGAAATACTTCAAGGACACCCTCAAGGTGAACATTAAGAAGTGTTGCATTGACACCACAAATTGGGAAAAACTAGCCCAGGACAGGGCTACATGGTGACACCTTATGAGAAAAGGTACATCTTACTTTGAGGGAAACCATCTCTCTCTGTAGGCAGAAAAATGACGGAAACAGAAGGAAAGGAAACAAGACTGAGAAATTCATGGTCTGACCCTCCCTTTAATCACCACATGTGGCATCTGCCAGATAGTCACCTTCTCTAGGATTGGCTTTTTCCATCAACAAACCCATCTACAACCCATTACTTGACCCACGGGAGTGATCATCCTTGACTGTGAGTGATCACCAACAATGATAAAGAAAATAGGATTGAGCCCTATGCTATTACAACAAGATGTGCTAAATTGCTACAGTATAAATCCAACCCCTGAAGAGGAAAAAATGAGAGCAGCGGTCTGTATTAAAGGATGTTTTTCACTGCTTTGTGGTTCGCTGGGACACAATTCTCATGGTATCCATGTTCCATCCCATGCTGACATGTCAGGCTTTACTGAAAGAACTGACTTCTCACAGATGTAGCGTCTTGTAAAAGAATAGTCATCTGAGGAAAATCCTCCATGTATCACGACTGCACAGTCCCCGCCATAGCTTCCATTTTTAAATGGGATCCTATAATAGAAATAATCATAATGTTACTTCCAGCCATTCTGGTCATATCTCCATCACTGCCTTTTTGCTACTCTCTCTCTTTCTCTGCAAACCAAACACTGTAGGGGAAGGCAATGCCAAATACTGTTAGAGCTAATGGAACAACTGTCAATAACTTGAGTGGATATAACTAAAAAATCCTTGAGTATATTTGCCATAAGTGCTCGTGAGGGAGTAAAAGCAGAAATAAATAATCAATGCAGGAAAGATTACACCCCTCACCATGATAGTAGTGCGCTTTTTCCTCTATACAATTCAGTGCCATCACTTTGATCATTTGGTTCATACTGGATCTTTGACTTCCATTATTGCAAATGTTTCTGAGCTAAGGACCTTGGGAGCCTGACTGTCTTTCAGGTTCATGTTTACTCACCCCAGGGAAGCCTTACAATAATTCTTATAGGAACAAGTGCTTTCCAGATATTTCAGGAACTTACTGGTCATTGGTGAAAGTTGAGCCATTCTCCCAAACCCAGGTTCCATTGACCTTGTCACATAGCAATCCTATCCAGTGAGAACTTGCCAGTGGATCTATCAAATCCTAAATAAGAACAAAATCAGTTCATATTGTTACCTGCCTCCTGTCCCAGCCCACTTCCATGGTATTTAGATATTGGGTGTGGTGATTAGATGAACAAGTCCTGCGAGGCTGAGGAAGCCTCACGCTTGAGCCATTCTATTCTCCAGACTAAGCATAGTTTTCATCTTCTCCAAACACATTAGATTCTCTAGAAAATGTGAAACCAAACTCTGCTAACTGGGCTCTATTCACTCTCACTGGTTGCACAACGCCTGCCCAGACACACTTCTGAGGTACAGGAACTACACAGTACAATGTACAGGCTCAGTGTGCACATGCTGTGCCCTGGTTATGGAAAGAATGGGTGACATAGAGTGGTGCCCTAAGAGATGTGTATGGTTTTAGTTTAGAGGTCAGTAATAGTTCTAACAGGGATGATGGCCAAGGGGCTACAGGGTATCCCTGCAGCTCTGAGGCAAGAGTTATAGCCTGGGTCTGAACTCAGTCTGAAGGCCACATCTAGTTAACTCATCTGTAAAAATCACTTGGGCTGGGGAGTCAAAGATCTATGTATGTGATACCAGCTATAACTTTTTCATGGGTGCTGTTGGACAAAGAAATAGTTGCACCTTGAACATACTAATCTAGTGCATTCAGTTATAGCTTGGACCTTGAATGCTGTTTCTAATGATAGGAAGAGGAGACAAGGGGCAAAGGAATAGACCTCAAAGAAATGAACAAAACAAAAGGTGCCCAAGGAAACCATGTTCGATTCATCCCCACTCCTTTCTGATTTCCTTGCAACTCCCCCCCACCCCTCACCCCAAAAAACCAAAAACATGCACTGCATGTTCAAAAAGAAGACACTCTACCAGCTCATCTTTGCTCTCTGTCTGAAGGAGTCTGGAGCCATTGGCAGAACAGGCAGCTTGACTCTTCAACCAAGACTGGGTTTTCTTAGAAAAGCGGTAGCATTTCTGTCCATGGAAAAACCATTTTTGTGGGCAGGGGAAAGCTGGCAAACCTTAAAATGAAAGCACAGTTTATGGTTCCAATCAGTGATACCATTTTCAATCCTTCCAACTTGTTCCAATCTCACAACACCTAATTTTAAAGCAGGTGTGACAAAACTATTGAGACACATAGACCTAGCCCCAGTTGATGGCAATTTGATCCTGGTAGAAGGAATCTTGTTCATTAAAGAGACTAGTGGTTGGTTTGCTTGGCCTATTGTTCTTGCATTTGCTAGTCACATTTGCGGGGCCGGGGTTCCCTCTTGGGAAACTTAGAGTGTTTTTAGGATTGTGTAATGTCAGTGTCAGAGCTGGGGAAATCTCCCTGCAGTCCTTTCAGTTTACAGCCCATTAACCCACTCCACCCCTACCCTGCTAACATAACTACCCCAGTCCTTAACCAATGCTCTCTCTGGGACTCCCAGGGGCTTGTCTCATATTGTCTGTCTCACAGTTGCTCACTAGTGCTCTCCATATACCCAGCTGGTGACTCCAGATGCCCTCAAACAGGACTGACACAAATGAGGCTGTTCACTACAAAGCAGAAGCACCCCCAGAGAGCAGAAGTGTACCTTCAGCCTGGTTTGAGCTTGACTACTGGACTGTGCTGATCCACAGGACTGAACAAGGCTTAGGCACAGATATGTGTGGCATTGAGGCCTGGGAAAGATCTGTGTGTTCATGAGTACACGTTGGTCACAGCCCTACATGTTTTATCCCCATGTGTAGAATGCACTGAAATTTGTTCAGGCTAAGACATTGGCATATAACGACATTGGCATATAACAACTCTATATGATTTCCAGAGGCTCAGGCAGGGTGGAACAGTCACATTTAGTGACACAGATACCTGAGAATTGAGTAAGAGCCACTTCAATGCCTCAGACTATGCCAGGTGAACTCACATGAGACTCTCTGAGCACCTAGGGAGTGAGTGAACAGGGACAGCAAACAGGGCAGTTTGCAAGCAGTTCACAAGTCAGTTTGCAGGTCAATATGCTGCCCCCCTTCTTTGAATGGGAGCCTTTAAGTAAACTCTTTCTTTTAATTAAGAGTAGTCAACCTACATATATTCAGCATAAGTAGCTAAAACTCAGGAATTAGACCAATACTTAAGCACTTTGCTTAACTAGAGTCCAAAGTGAGGGGGCACCAGGGCAGCATTTCTCAACCTTTGGGTTGCAGACCAAAAGTGGGTCACAAGAATATATGAAAGGGTCATGGAGAAACTTTAAAAATAGATCAATGGACTTTAAAAATGGATTCTCCTTGAAAGGAGAAAAGCATGGGAAACCATGGCCTTTCCCTTGCAGGCTGTGAGGGACTGCTTGGGTCTGCCTGGGGCTGCCCCATGCCCCACCTTGCCCCACACACTGGGGCCTGGGGGTAGGGACTAGTCATTGATGTTTACAAATGGGTCCCGGTACAAAAAGGTTGAGAACCACTGCACTAGGGAGCTGGCCTCGAAACTCTCTCTCACTTTTCTTCACTTGGTGAGAGAAAGCAGGAGAAAAGGTACCTTTCAGGACCAAGAAGCAGTGAACAGGCCAGCTTACAGGGGAGTTTATCAGGGGGAAGGTCTGCTTGGAAGACAGGCAGGAAGAGAGAGGCAGAAGATTAAGAGACCCAGAGAAATGGCTGGAAGATATTGCAATGCCAGAGCCACTGCCAGTGCCAACACTTCCTCTGCTTGCACCTATGAGATGTCTGTCCAGGCAGGACTGCTCACTATCAAAGTTTCCTCCCGGGTCCTGGTTTGATGCTGTGGAGATTGCATCTTGCAGGTTCCTTTTAGTGACAGCCAGGTCCGGGAGTGAATGCAATGTGAGCTGTGCCTCCTTGTGGTGTCCTTCAAGGAGAAAGCAAAAGAGCTACAGAAGGAGATGGAAGGACAGGCAGAGGAGAAGAGGAGGAGGAGTTGCTTTTTATGTAAAAGAGCTGTATGATTGCTAGAGCTCCAGTATGAAACTGGAGATAGGCCTGTTGAAGGTCTCTGGGTTAGGATCAGAGGGGAGAGCAACAAGGATGGTGTCATGGTAGGTGTCTGCTATAGGTCACCAAACCAGGAGGATGAAGTGCATAAGGCTTTCTTCAAACAGCTAGCAAGGTTTCCTAATCACAGGCCCTGGTTCTTGGGAGGACATAAATCACTTTGGCATCTGCTGGGAGCGCAATAGAGCAGCATGTAGGCCATCCAGGAAGTTTTTGGAATGTAGGTGCAACTTCCTCGTGCAAGTGTTGAAGAGGCCAGCTAGGGGCCCTGCTCTTCCTGACTTGCTGCTCACAAACAGGGAAGACTTGGTGGGGAATGTAGTAGCGGATAGCAACTTGGGCAGCAGTGACCACAAGACGATTGGGTTCAGTGTCCCAAGGAAAGAAAGGATGGAGAGCAGCAGAGTACGGACTCTGGACTTCAGAAAAACAGACTTTGACTCACTCAGGGAACTAATGGGCAGGTCAGTCTGGGAGGGGGGATGGAGGTCAATCTGAGGGGGGATGGAGTCAAGGAAAGCTGTCTGTATTTTAAAGAAACCTTAGTAAGGGCACAGGAACAAACCATTCTGATGGGAAGAAAGACTAGCAAGTATGGCAGAAGGCCAGGAGGTCAATCTGAGGGGGGATGGAGTCAAGGAAAGCTGTCTGTATTTTAAAGAAACCTTAGTAAGGGCACAGGAACAAACCATTCTGATGGGAAGAAAGACTAGCAAGTATGGCAGAAGGCCAGATTGGTTTGCTTAGCAGGGAACTCTTCAGTATACTAAATAGCAAAAAAGAAGCTTATAATAAGAGGAAACTTGGACAAACAACTAGGGAGGAGTATAAGAGTATTGCTCAGGCATGCAGGGATGCAATCAGGAAGGCCAAAGCGCAATTGGAGTTGCAGCTAGCAAGTGACATGAAGGGATACTATATATATATGCCAGCAACAAACAGAAGATGAGGGGAAAGTGTGGGTTCTTTACTAAATGAGGGAGGCATCCTAGAGACAGAAGATGCAGAAAAGGCTGAAGTACTCAATACCATTTTCACATCAGTCTTCACAGGCAAGGTCAGCTCCCAGACCACTGTGCCTGGCAGCACAGTTTGAGGAGGAACCAAGCAACCATCCATGGCAAAAGAACTAGTTAAGGACTAATTAGAAAAGCTGGACATGTTGGGGCCAGACATGATGCATCTGAGGGTGCTGAAGGAGTTTGCTGATGTGACTGAAGACCTGCTGGCCATTACCTTTGAAAACTCTTGGTAATTGAGAGAGGTCCCAGATGATTGAAAAAGGAAAATATAGTGCATATCTTTAAGAAAGGGAAGAAGGAGGACCTGGGGGACTACAAAACTATTAGCCTCACCTCAGTCCCTGGAAAAATCATGAAGCACGTCCTCAAGGAATCCATTTCTAAGCACTTGGAGGAGAAGAAGGCAATTAGAAACAGTCAGCATGGATTCACCAAGGGCAAGTCATGCCTGACCAACCCAATTGCCTTCTATGATGAGATGACTGGCTCTGTGGGTACAAGAAAAGCAGTGGATTTGACTTTAGCAAGGCTTTTGATATGGTCTCCCAAAACATTCTTACAAGAGAGTGAAGGAAGTGGGGGTTCGATGAATGGACTGTAAGGTGGACAGAAAACTGGCTTGATAATCAGGCTCCAAGGGTAGTAGTCAATGTTTTAATGTTTAGTTGGCAACTGGTTTCAAGTGGAGTGACCCAGAGGTCGATCCTGGGGCTGGTTTTGTTCAACATCTTCACCAATGACCTGAAAGATGGGATGGAGTGCACCTTCAGCAAGTTTTCGGATGACACAAATCTTGGGAAAGTTATAGATACATTGGAAGATAGGGCTAGAATGGACCTTAACAAATTGGACCAAAATAAATGTTATGACGTTTAATAAGGAGAAGTGCAAAGTCCTGAACTCATGGCAGAATCCCATGCACTGCTATAGGCTGGGGACTGACTAGCTAAGCAGCAGCTCTGCAAAAAATGATGTTGGGTTTACAGTGGACAATAAGCTGAATATAAGCCAACAGTGTGCCCTTATTGCCGAGAAGGCTAATGGCATATGGGCTGCATTAGTAGGAACATTACCAGCAAGTCGAGGGAAGTGATTATTCTCTGCTATTCAGCACGGAGGCCCATCTGGAGTACTGTGTCCAGTTTTTGGCCCCCCACTACAGAAAGGACGTAGCCAAATTATAGCAAGTCTAGCACAGGGCAATGGAAATGTTTAGGGGACTGGGGCATATGACTTATGAGGAGAAGCCTGAGGAACTAGGCTTATTTAGCCTGAAGAAGAGAAGACAGAGAGGGAATTTAATAGTAGCCTTCGACTACCTGAAGGATGGTTCCAAAGAGAATGGACTTAGACCGTTCGCAGTGGTGGCAGAACAAGGAGCAAGCTCTCAAGTTTCAGCAATGGGAAGTTTAGATTAGACAGTAGGAAAAACTCTCTTACCCGGAGGGTAGTAAAGAACTGGAACAGGTTACCTAGAGAGGTTGTAGAATCGCCACCCTTGAATGTTTTTAAGACCCAGCTAGACAAAAACTTGGCTAGGATGATCTAGTTGGGGATAGTCCTGCTTTGAGCAGGGCATTGGTCTAGATCAGGGGTTGTCAACCAGGGGTACACATACCCCTGGAGGCCTTACGGGGTACACATGGGTGGGCGGGGACAGAGCGCCACTACATACCATCCCATGCTGATGTGCAGGTATCCCCTGCCTAGCTGAACACAGGGGGTGAGGGAAGCTCACACATGGTGGCTGCTGCTGCTTGGCATCCAGCTGCGTGCCAGGGGGTACACTGCACCAGTCGGTGGCTGGGGGTACACTGCTCCACATCCGGCCACCGGGGGTACAATGATCCAAAAAGGTTGTAAAACCCTGGTCCAGATGACCTCCTGGGGTCCCTTCCAACCATAATTTAATATGATTCTATGCATAGGCACTGAGTATATAGGGAACCAAGGGCTCTGGCCCCGCTTGTGAAGAGGGTAGGGTGACCACCCATCCATAATTGGGTGGGACAGTCCTGAAATGGGAACATTAAGTCCCTGTCCTGGGCTGCATTACTCTAGGATAGCATTTGTCCTGGATTCCCAGTATCATGCAGAGATCTGTGTTTTCCATTCACTGTGAAAAAACACAGGAAACGGTGGCTTTTCCCTTGCTGGCTGTGGGAAGCAGGATGCAGGGGGTGCCATGTGCATGTGTGCACACAT